TATAGGCAATAGAATTTAGTAAAGTTTATTTTCCATATGTTAATCTAGGGAAAGCATGTGACAAGTGAATAGACAGGAATTTTGGAATATTTGGTCTGAATATGACATTGAAGGTTAGTTGCTGAATGCAATTAAGAGAAGTTTGTGATGAAAGTTAAGCATGCATGAGTAAACAGAACACAACAATTTAACACTGAGCTGGGGTTAAAGGGTGTATAATATCTCATTTGGTTTAATGAATTGATAGATAAATATGTAAGAAATTATGGTGACATGAAAAGTGTGTTGTTTGGGAACAGTAATGTATACCTAATATACCCATATTTATTATGCAGAAAATGTTGTTCTATGAGTCTATGAGTGAGCTGTAGCAAATGAAAAATTGGATGATCAAATAAGAAGAATGAACCTAAAAATTAATGTATCAAAGGTAATTCTGTTTGATTTTAAGTTGTACATGATGTTAAAAATAATATAGAGCAAGTATATAAATACGTATATCCTGTTAGAATGGGAGTTTAAAAATGGGAAAATAGGCAGTAACATTATAAATTTAGATAGGAAGGTCTAACTGACTCTGTCTAACAGCCTACTTCTACCTGCCTTGTTCTATGAAAATGAAAACAAGTAAAAATAAACAAGAGAATGGGTACTGAATTCATGTACCCTGAATTCAAAGTGAGCAACTGGCATGAAGAAAACACATTGAGATGGTTTGGTCACATAGAGAAAATAAATAAGCATCAAATCTCAAAAAAAATATGTATAGGAACAAGGAATGGGTCAAGAGGAAAGACAAGATCAAAAAAATGTAGCTTGGACATATCTGGAAAAAATCATCACAAAGGGAGAGGTGGGAAATTTTGAAAAGGCACCATTTGAAGCTGAATACGGATGTGACAAGTTTGCCTTGTAAGAATAGAAAGGTGTACAAACACATACCAAATCATGTTTGTTTTATCTCATGCTTTTAATTTCTTTGGGTTCCTATTCATTACTCACTATCTGCATTTTTTCCTAATTGTGCTTCTAGAGAAATGGAATTTACACTGTCGTATTTTACATGTTGCAAAATATGGAGTTATACCTACAGAACTGATCTTGTGATTGGTGCAGCATACTGTATATCCCTGTTACAACTCAAGAAGCTGCAAAACTTATTTGAGAATACTGATTGGATCAGAGTATGCTGAGTCGCCAGCTGACTATCTTCTTAGCAAATCACCTGAAAGATGAGTGAATGAATGTTCTTGGGGCTTTTTAAAAACTTTAATATGCTGAAGAAAAAAGAAAAGCCTCATTCTAAAAAGTAAATATTGTATGGATATTAAAACATTGTAGAAAAGAAAGGAAGAGAGGGAGGGAGGGAGGGAGGGNGATTACAAGAGAGTAAGTTATGCTGGCTGGAGAATTCTGGGAGTTGAAGTCCACAAGTCTTAAAGTTGCCAAGTTTGAAAACCTCTGATATTAGTATGATGAGAATAACTATGTTTAACGTTATTATTGTATTTTCATTAGAAGATATGTTAAGAAGCAAATGAAGAGCTTTAAATAGTCTAACTGTTCAATGTATCACAATCTAAGGAAGGATATTGCATAGAAATATTTGCACCCAGATGACATACTGCCTATGGAAAGGTGGAATGTATTTATATTTTTAAAATTGAAAAATAAATAAAAATATTGTTTTTAAAAAAGCATTGTGACCGAGCCCTCCCTGCCAAGAGACCCTTTTCAAAAAGACAAGTGCCCTCTGACACCCTGGACCACAATTCCCATCAGCCCCAGCAAATGTGTGGACTCCTAACATCAAAAACGTCATTAAAAAAAAAAGCACAACCAAGAATGTTCTTCCTGCGCCAACTCAGGAAGCTCAGACTGCCCAAAGAGCTGCTGATTCAGTTCTACGGAGGGATGATTGGGTCTGTCATCTGCACTTTCATAACTGTCTGGTTGGGCTCTGCAACCAATTAAGACACACACAGACTTCAACGGATAATTAGAACTACAGAAAAAGCCATTGCTAATAACCTGCCTTCCATCGAGGACTCAAAAAGAGGACAATATCTACAGACCCTTCGCATCCTGGACATAAATGGGTTCAACTCCTACCCTCAAAATGACAGTTATAGAACATAAAACAACAAGACACAAGGACAGTTTTTCCTGCCCATGCCATCACTCTATTAAACAACGGATTTACACAACACTGTTAAACTAGTTGTTGTTAGTTGCGAAATCGTGTCTGACCCATCACAAACCCATGGACAATGTTCCTCCAGGCCTTTCTGTCCTCTACCATTCTCAAACTGTTTACTAAGACTGTCTTACTATTCTCATCCTTCCTATGACCTATCTCCCCCACTTGTGACTATAACCTTGTTGCTTGTATCTTTATGATTTATATTGTTTTATTTAGTTTCCTAGCGTGATTATGATTGCTTATTTAGTATTCTATGACTTATCACTAAGTGGTGTATCTTATGATTCTTGATGAATGTATTTTTATGTACCCTGAGAGCTTCTGCACCAAAGACAAATTCCTTGTATGTCCAATCACACTTGGCCAATAAAGAATTCTATTCTATTCTATTCTATTCTATTCTATTCTATTCTATTCTATTCTATTCTTCTTCATTCCATTCCATATTTTATTTTATTTTCGATTCTANCATACCCACTCTCATGGCCTTCAGGAAAGCTGTAAAAAGTTGGCTGTTCCGGCAGGCCTGGGGCTGTTGACCTCACTGTTGAGGTCCAGCCCCGATTAGAATGAATGTATGAGGTGTTGCTGTTTTTTAAACTGTTTCTTTTGTAATGTGTTTCGTTATGTGTTTTTTCTCTTTATTTTTGTAAGCCGCCTGGAGTCCTTCGGGATTGGGCGGCATATAAATGTGTCTAATAAAATAAATAATAAATAAATATCAATACATGATTCATTCCCCTCCCCTTGGTACCCCAGTCCATAGTCCAATCGTATATCACCACAGCTGTCCGGTGGGAGACATCTTCAAAAAGCATAATCAGGTTGGTATGCCGGACAGTTGGCCTTGGCGGGAAACTCCCCTCCTTCCACATGCGCAAATGAATGGTGAGAACAACTCCCAATTAACATTAACAGTCCTCTTGTACAGATTAGTTCCTGCACCCAAATACCATGCCCCCCCTCCCCGTTTCAATGGCAGCCGAAAAGCAAGCAGCAAAACAGAGGCTGACAGTCGCTTGTAGACTGTAGGAATCATGGTCCTAGTAAGGGGAAACATTGCATAAAACTACCATAGTAATGCTTTGAATTGGAAAGCAGCTGATAACTTCCATCTTCCTCCTGGGGTGTATTCTGTACTAACTGCCACTCCTGAGTAGTCTTCAAAGACAGCCCCATGTAGAGCACATTGGAGTAGTTGATTAAGGGAGGGAATGAGGACATGGGTAACTGTCACCAAGGCCTCATGTTCTGTAGTGCTCCATCTTTGTGCCTCCCATGTCTCAGAAGCGAGGCGTGGAAGGAGTCACATGTGGGTATTATCACGGCCCATTTGCCCGGAGACAGAGGTAATTTTGAGGCCACTCCCTCTACTACTCCTCGTGACTCCCCAGATTAACCGATGGTCCAGTCCAAGAAGAGCCTGAGAAGGAAGGTAACAGGAAAAACAAAAAACAACTCCCTCCCCCAGGCCTGACTGACCTACAACTAATCTCACTCAGGCCCCCATGCGCAGGTGCGCACCGAACGGTCTCTGGGCAAATGGGCCGTGATAATACCCACATGTGACTCCTCACATGCCAGCTTCTAGACATGCAGTTCAGGTAACACCAACTGACATTTTCCAAGCACGAACTCAGTTCTAACTACTGCATTGTTCTTCCATGGCTGGCCAAGGTTACCTTGGGTTGTTGGGGCTAATCTGGGAGCCTCCAAAGGGCTGCAATCCAACCCTCCGCAGCCCAACTGCTGTTTACAGTCCCAGCCAAACATCCCAGCTTGCCCTGCCACACCTTTTTCCACCATGTTTCAGCCTTTGTGTTGGCAACTCTCTTTAGATTTTGACGTGAGAGGAATAATCACCAAGGTCAACCTTCTGTCAACGCATCTGTCCAGTCAGTGCCTCAGCCAACTATGGCTGCCTAAGCTGTCATTTCTAACTGGCACCCCTGGCTATAATTGGCCTCTGGCTTCCCTCTGAGATCAGTTGGTTCACCAATCCTTTTTTCCTCCTCTTCTCTTCTCCTGGGAGTCTTCCCAGCTCCAGTTCCTCCACATAAGAACCTTATTCTCACCATCCATCCCCATTCAGACATCCGAAATGTTCATTTGCCAAATGATGGTTAATATAAGACCTTCCTCAATCCGATCCCTTGTTGTTTCCTTAGGTGTTCTGAGAATACTGAGTTATTTGGGGCAATCCCCATTCTTTCTCAGGGTTCAGGGCCTTGAGCTCTGGTACAAACTGGTTCTGAGCATCTCTGTTCTTCATTAAGCTGTCATTTCCCATCACATACTGACAAAGGCTTATTCCCCATTTGTTCATCCCTCCCATGCCCCCCCCCCAAGCCTTTGATGGCAGGATGCCTGGGTGATGATGGCAAGCCTGACAGTCAAGAATGTCAAGTTGGTTGGAAGCGATTTAAGGGGAAAAGCTGTCTGATAATAAAAGACAGCAAGGTTGACACAACATGGGGGAAGATAGAAACACACTAGCAGCAGTACCTTTGGGCACTTTTGCTCTTTTTGTTACTGAGAGCCAGTCCAAAGGCTGGCATGTCCTTTTCCTATTGCACGATATGATATTATGAAGTTGCACCCCTGGAGTCTGGGTGATTGCCACTGAGTCTTGACATTGAGATCATAAGAGTATTATCAGCAAGAGGTTTAAAGCTATTTGTTACTCCTGGACTAGGAAAGTAAACATCCTTTTCCTTTTATTTTGGGATTGAGCGTGTTGTCTTCATATCTTCAGTTGTACTTCTTGAAGTCTCATCTTGTATTTTGTCTTAAACAGGTACATTGATGAATTGTTCAAGCTAAAGGCTCAGATGCAAAGTGCGGGAACTGAGTTCCTGACATGGAATGACATCCAGTCATGTATTGACCATGTGAATATTGTGGTACATGAAGAACATGAGAGTAAGTGTCCATTCACTCAAATTAGGAAAAGGTGGGGAGAGTTGGGCTTCCATTGAGTTTCCTACCTTGTCATTCTTGAATGCACCTTCCCAAGATGGTTGGTTCCCTTGTAAAATCCAGCAAGGATCTTCTTGAGTGGCTTTAGATGAATTAGCCTCAGTTTTAGGGATGAACCCTTCTGACACAATTCAGAATAGAAAGTAGACTCTGCATCTGTTCCTCATTTTTCTCAAGATAGTTTTTCATCCAGCTTTATGATATTGGTGTTTGGAAGTTAAGATTCTGTAACTGTATGCCCAGTTACAGTACTTTGCTTTTTAAGAAGGAATATATCTCTTAGTGTTTCTGAAGCATGCAAAGATGGAAAGATTTTGTGTGTGTGTGTGTGTGTGTGTGTGTGTGTGTGTGTGTNTGACATTCTAATATTCTCTTCTATTCCAAATATTTTTCCAATCAGTGTCATTTATTTCTCCTAAATCTGATTCCCAAATTAATTTTAAACCCTTTACCTGCTCTTCTAATTCAGTTAATATTCTATATATTTTCCCAATTCTTCCTTTCCCTATATATTCTTCATTCACCTCATATTCTTTTATCATCATTTCAAATTTTGTTAACTGTCTATCTTTCTTCCACTTTTATCCATTTCTCTAATTGTATTAAATTTTAGCAATTTAATTTAATATCTGATAAAACGTTGTTTAGTTGTGTTATATGTCAGGGTTCCAAATAGCATCCAAAATAAAATAAGAATCTAAGGCAAGAGGTTCCTCAAAATTCCAATTTATTAAAAGAGCCGTGTTTGGCACATTGGTAACAACTAGCATACCTACTACAAAGGTACCTCTTCATTTATAGTCCATATTTCTTTTAATTCCCTTTCCATTTTTTCTAAAATATCTTTATTTCTAAAAATCTTCAAATCCATTCTCCACCTACTTACTTGTTTATAAATACAATCTATTCCATATCCATAGTTACCATTGTATGATCAGATATTTTAATTATTTTTATCTCTGCTCTCATTGTTTTAGATAATATTTCTGGTGTTACAAATATATAGTCCATTCTTGTAAAATTTTTATGTCTACCAAAAAAATATGTATAACTTTTTTGATTACCGTGTAATTTTCTCCAAACATCTTTCAGTCTGTTTCTATTTAAAAAAATATTAAATCTGCATTATTATATTTTATTTCCACTTTTGATGGATTGGATTTGTCAATTCCGTTATCCATGTCAATCCATGTCAATATTATAATCACCTGCCATTATTACTTTTTTGACCTATTTCTTTATATACCCTATTATAAAACTCTCTTTGCTTTATATTAGGTGCATACAAGTTTGCTAAGGTAACCTCTTGTCCATAAATCAAGCCTTGAATTACAAGAAATATTCCCATTTCATCTCTTTTTATGGCTTTTATCATAAATCCATATCTTTTAGCTACGAGGATTGCAACTCCTCTTGTTTTTGAAGTATTAAATGCCTTTTCATATACATCAGCCCAGTATAACTTACCATATTTTTCGGAGTATAAGACGCACCTTTTTCCCTCCAAAAAGAGTCTGAAAATCTGGGTGCGTCTTATACACTGAATACAGCATTTTTGCCTCCCGAAACCCCGCCCCCTCCACTAAAATGGCTGTACAGAACCTGTAGGAGGCTTTCAGAGAGTTCCTGGGGGCTGGGGAGGGCAGAAATAAGTGAAAAAGGGTCATTTTTTGCTCAATTTTGCTCCCCCCCCAGCCCCCAGGCTCTATAAGCCTCCTAAAGGCTATGCATGCAATTTTTTTGACAAAAAATGGGCCTGTTTTTTGCTCATTTTGCCCCCCCTCAAGCACTCTGCAAGCCCCCTATTCATGCCTTTTTTAAAAAAGTGGGGGCGTTTTTGCAAAAAATGGGCTGTTTTAGGAAGGTTTGCAGAGTGCAAAAACTTTTTTTTTAATTTGCCTCTTCAAAACCTTGGTGCATCTTATACTCCGAAAAATATGGCAAGTTCATTCATTCCTTCTTTCTTTTGATGTGTTTCTTGTAAAAATACAATGTCTATATTGTATTTATAATAAGTATACATATTATCCCAAAACATAAACAACCTCTTAACCACCCATAAACATATATAATGTCCCCTTTTCTTCTTCAGGAGATCTTCCTCTTCTCCGCCACATAGGGCCTTCAGGGGAGAGAAGAGGAGCCATCTATACACATCCCTTAACCATCTTTACTCTATTTCTATACCCAAACATATGTTATAACGCATATCCTTTAATATACAAATATTTATATACTATCCCTACAGTGAACTTGTAACTCCTGTTGCTTCATCCAGCCTCCCTTTCGCCCGTAGATCATTTTTCTTCTTCTCCATCTCCCTTCTTGAGAATTTTGACATCTCATTCAATTTCTGGATTTGCTCCATGAACTCTTCTTTATTGACGATTCCAAGATCCCTTAATTTCTCCATCGCCTCCTCCTTTGTTTCAACTCTATAAAATCTTCCCCCATATGGAAATCTCAAAAAACCTGGATAACCCCAGCTATAATTAATATTATTTTTCTTCGGTAATTGAAGAAATTCAGTAATTTCTTCATCCAAAAAGAGCTCTTTACCTTTTAAGAGTTTTCCAGTTTATAGTCATTAACATCACTTCCTCCTTTGTCTCATTCTTTATCAACTTATCTCCGAAAATGCAATTTAATAAAATTAAATAAATCTAATGGCAACAGTTAACTTTATTACACACACCTTATCAAGGCTCTGTCTTAAAAATATTTAGTTTTCCAGGCCTTGATACTTGGACTGAATGAAGGGAGTGATGGGGCCTTCACACTGTATACTCATAAATCAGCTAATATCTTCTCAGCTGTACTCCTTTAAACTCTTTCCAAGTTCTTTCTCAGTCTTCAATCATACTTTACTTTACTTTACTTTACTTTACTTTACTTTACTTTATTTATTTGTATGCCGCCCTTTTCCCTGAGGGGACTCAGGGCGGCTCACAATCCAGGGGGAGGGGAAGACAAACAAGTTACAACATGAAGACAGTACATTGTTAAAAAAAAATAAAAATCATAGAGCCCTTCCTNTTTTTTTTTTTTTTCATTTATTAAATTGCTGTCCTGCTTTCCTCCAGGAGTTTTACTTTCTCCTTCAGTCTTTTCCCCAAGGAGCAATCACCCTGTGGAATATGCTGGCTGAGCCTGAATGTCCCACTGGGCTTCCAAGCCAGGGATGGACTTGGACCTAGATTTCAGCAGTCTTAATTGACTGCTTTCAAATCATGGGGAGGTAAAAGAAGGTTGCCTCTGCAGATGTGGGTGAACAAGGCTAGTCGTCTCTTTTTCACTAAAGAAGTGTTGTTCTCTGGGAGTCTTCTTAGAATCCTGATCCACTTTGGATGGGAGATCTGCGCAGCTTCCAATTGGCTTTCTGATCTTTTCTCACTCTTGCTAATTTTTTCTTCTTTATCCCCAGAACTACGTAGCTCTTCCAATAGTTAGCTGTTGTTTTCTTTTGTTTTTCCTCTGAGTTAGCTCTCAAGTGTACGATGTTATGTTTTTCATTATATTTTTCTGAAGTAACAGATCACTTTTATTGTACAGTTCTTCAGCGAGTCTGTGACCTATCTTCTTTCTGATTCAGTTTTTGGAATGCACACTTTTATTTCATTGAAGCAGTGCCAGAATTTGATATAAGCTGTTGGTACAGCAATTTCATTGTGTCTTGATGGCTCCAAATAATTCTGTCCCTATTCAAAATTGCCTACTGTATGAAACTTCGATTTAACTTTTTTGATTCCACACTACATTTGTATCTAGGACTTCAATAAAGCATTTGACAAAGTAGACCACAACCTACTATTTGGTAAGATAGAAAAATGTGGGTTGCCCAGCATAACCCCCAGGTGGATTTGTAACTGGCTGACAAACCACACTCAACATGTAGTCCTCAATAGAACTCATCTACATAGAGGAAAATAAGCAGTAGATACCTCAAGGTTCTGTCTTAGTCCAGTAACCTTCAACATCTTCATAAATGGCTTAGAATCGATAGAAATTTGAGCTGTGTTGTAAGAGTGAACTCAACACCAGTAAGATTTTCTGTTCCTTCTAGGAAACAACAACAGTAATTGGGTGAAACACTGGGTAAAAGGCGGGTACCATTACTACCACAACCTCCAAAGCCAGGATGGAGTCTGGGAGGAGCCTCAGAGATTTGTGCAGAACAGCATACAGCTCTCTCGGGAGGAGATCCAGGTATGATGCCCTCTGGTTTTCAGCAGCCCTCCTAGGCCATGTTCTGTTGTGTACCAAAGAATGAGGGAATTGATTATGAATTCTTTCTTGCCTGGCATAATTATCCTAATGTTAGAACTATCTCAGTTTGCACAAATGTATTTGGTCATAAACAGAACTGGTCAGTGTGTAAGAGAGTACTTGATTGTAAGCGCCATTCTAAAAGTAGCAGATAAATATAGGATAAGTCAAAACCTATTGCATTTTATTTCAATATTAAATATTTATGTCCACAAAGATGAATGTATGCACAATTAGTTTGGTGGAGTGATACTTCTTTCAGAGTGTAAGAATTAACCTTACCAACATTTAACTTTGGCTGTTCAAAATTTCTCATTGGTTCCAATATTTGAAGTAATATTTGAAATGCTTTACCTTGTTTTTGTAAGTCATTTTGAATTATTTATTTTATAATATACTACAAAATGAATTAGAGAAATGAAGTGGAACAATCAGGGATTGATTGAATCTGAAAAGCTAATAAAACAATATTCAAAACATCTACAGCTAATTTATAAGATGTTACTAAAAACCCTAAAGTATGAATAAGAAATTCGTTGTATGGTTAAATAGGTGCATAGTTTAAATAGAATAATTGATATGCAGCAGTGGGAAGAACAAAGGGGCATAAATATTACATTTATTGAGGAATTTGGTATATATTTTTTTTCCATTTCACAGTAGTGTTGATTTTCAAAATAGATAATTCCACATGCCTGGCTTTTGGTAATTTGGGGAACAGACATTGAGTGGATGCTAATCCCTAAATTTGAAATTAGCAAGCCCTCGCCAACTATTTAGCTCCAAATCCAATTCTATATGTTATTGGTGGGAAAAGATGCCTCTGTTCCTCTATTATGCAGCACCTGCTTTGTGTTTTCTTCCTGGCAACTGCAGAGCGCCATCTCGGCAGTTACGGCAGCATACAACCGGGAGCAGCTCTGGTTAGCCAATGAAAACCTGATCACCAAGCTACAGGCTCGCTGTCGAGGCTACCTAGTTCGCCAGGACTTCAGGGCCAGAATGCATTTCTTGAAAAAACAAGTCCCTGCCATCACCTGCATCCAGGTAAGATCCATATCAGATGAGTTGAAAAGAAGGACAAAATAATATTAAGGAGGTGAAATGTACAGCAAGATTTGGAATATGGTTGTTTTGTGCAGATGTGCCCAATCCCTCCCTTTTTTCCATTGTCTGGTTCTCTTTAGAAGAGGGGTCACCAACCTTTTGGACTTCAGGGACCATTATATTAAATCCTGCAGAGCACTAATATGAATCCAGCATGCAGCTCACTGACTCAGAGTGACAGGATGGGGTCCTTCAGGCACTTAGCTTGGCCGCCTTAAACAACAACCTTAAACATTCAAAGAGCCATTTGGATCCGTTTCCCATAGAAAACAAAACACCAGGATCTCTCATCTCTCTCAGTCTCTCTCTCTCTCTCTCAGTCTCTCTCTCTCAGTCTCTCTCTCTCTCTCACACACACACACACATATCTCACGGGCCAACCAACGTCTTGGGGGTGGAGATGAAGTCACGCGTCTCCCAGTCACGCAGCACCAACAACAGCTGGAAGAACACGCGAGATCCAGCAAGAGATGAAGCTTTGTTCCCGCTCTGGAATATGGAGCAAATCTCCATCCCCTACCCTTCCCTTCTCAGGTCAGGCGAGGAGTGAGTGGGAGGAGAGGGCCAGGGACAGTTTAGCCAACAGGAAGCTACAGCAGGGGGACAAAAGNGTAAAAATGAGAAAGGATAAAACAAAGAATATGAATAAGATAATAGAATGGAAAATGGAAAACCTGAAATCAGAAAAAAAAAATATCGAAAATAGAAAGCTGCAAAAGTGTAATTGTGATTTTAATGTTTGGAAAATATCAAATAAAAATACTTAAAAAAAAAGATAAAAGGTCTGAAGGCTAAAACACATGATGAATATCTAGCCTATCAAAGATAAGGATTAGGGAGAACATAACTCTCTTCCAGTATTTGAGGGGCAGTCCCAGAGGAGTGGGGATTGACTTATTCTTCAAAGCATCAGAAAGTAAGATAAGAAGTAATAGGGGGAAATTTGTCAAAGAGAGATCCAATCTAGAACTAAGAAATTTTCTAATAGCAAAAACAATCAATCAATGGAACAGCTAGCCTTCTGGAATTGTGGCTGCTTCATCCCTGCAGGTTTTCAAAAGTAGACTAGACAACTATTTGTATAAGTGCTCCTGCTTGAGTGGGGGTTGGATTAGAAGACTTCTGAGGTTCCTTGCAGCCCTATGATTCTGTGTTCTATTCCTCAACTCAGACTTCAGTCACACATCCTGTGACTTCTCTTGCACAATTGTAGCTAAAATGTCTTCAGAAAATTTCTAGAAGGTATTTTAGAAGAGGCAACATAGTGATTTGCCTTTTAGGTGGGCCAGTACATAATCCCTTATGTCCTTAAATATCAGTAACCTTGGGATAAGCCTGTGTTCATGGTCTTCCTTTCCCTAAGGAAGAAGGAGAATGTGACCTGAAAGATTTAAATATTTGATTAATAAAACAGCCTTATGGTGGATACACCATTTGAGAGCAAGGAATGGAAGGTTGTAACAGGTGCTGCATTGTTTCCCCTGTATAAACTCATTGGGATTCTGCCTTTCTCTTATATTTGTTCCAGGGATTTTAGCTATTGGACTCATAAATGAGGCTTTGGATGAAGGAGATGCCAGAAAGACCTTGCAGGCCTTGCAGACCCCTGCAGCAAAATTGGAAGGAGTAACCCCCAAAGTAGCACAACATTATCAGGATGTGCTGCTCCGTGCAAAGAGGGAGAAAGCCCAGGTGAGAGAATGATTACAGCAGTGTCTTCTGAAGGCCTCTTCCTTTGACTGGGAAGTCCTTTGTTAGGCTTTACTGCTGTTTTATTGAGTTAATTCAATTTAAATCTACTGTAATTTACATTTAATCTGTTGATGCATACATCCCTATGGAGGTTTCTTTGCTGAACATGTATTGCTTGGCTTATGGCAATCGGAATAGGAATTCCCATTGCTAAGCAGTGTGATCCTAAATTGTATCAGCATTGCTTAGTGATGGAAATTGCTGGGGGAAGAAAAAGTTGTCTGCCAGAAAGAAAATTGGCATCAGAGTCAACCATCAGGGGAATCCTTCTCTGTGCTTGAGAAGACTAAAAGGAAGGTCTCTAGGACAACTCACCATGGGACAATTCCATGTGGGATAACTCATTGCATTAAATATTACCTTCTTTGACGTCATTTTCATTTTATCCATTTCCACAAAAAATGGCAATAACGTTGAAGAAACAGAAGTGAATTCACATTACATTGAGCTTTCTTGCGTGGAATTGTTCCATGGCAAATTGGCCGCAGTGAGACAGCTGTGGCGAGTTGGCCAGGGCAAGTTATACATTGTGCCAAAAGGATGGGTGAGAAGTCAAAGCAAACAGATTCGTCACTGTGCATGATGCTCCTGTGGAAGAGAGAGGTAGCCAAATGGGGCAGTTCCCTCTGATCTTTCTGGGGGAGAAATTGGGAGACAAGTGGATGTGTTTGTCTGTGTGTGTTTGAGGATAGGCTGTAGTTGGTCTCTACATGATTTGGGTCAGCCTCTATATATCTCTCCCCCCCCCCCCCCCCCACAGCCTTTCTGCAGCTACTGGAGCTCTCTGCCCTTTCCCAGTTCTGCAGGCTGGGCACATGACTGGCTCTTGGAATCTGAGCCCTGTTGTTTGTGGTGCCATGAGCTTTTGTTGTTTTAATTGAAACCTCAGATTGTGAGCAAGAACAAGTTTGTTTCTGCCTCTCTTGAGGGAGAGCAGGTGTGTTGGGCTTCACGGGACAGCCAGGACTGACCTTTTCTTTTTCTTTCAGGAATATCAGGACGAAACGGCTGTCCTGTGGTTGGATGAAATTCAGAGTGGTGTTCATCAGTCCAACCAAGATACAGACGAAGCCCAAAGATGTAAGTCTGGCTTCCCCCTTTCAGCAGCTTTGCTGAATTTCACTGCTGGCTGAGGTGGTCTTTCAATCTTCCCCTTGTTGCACTCCAGAAAAACGGCAGTGTTGGGCGATGCGGCCGATAAGCTTAAACCCAAGGATAGGAGAGCAGAATTCACCTTACGTAAAAATTTCCAAGCCTCTGCGTGGGCCATCAAGTCGGCAGCTGCAGCTGCAGCTGCATTACGGTCTTGTGGTTACGCCAACTGCAAGACTGTATCCTAGCGTCTGATGAACGGCTCTTACAGGATATTACAAAGATCATAGCCACAACTGAGTTTTCCACGGATGCTACCCTTGATTCCATCAAGTATGCGTCCCAGTCTCTGTCCACCTCTGTATCATCAGGGCACCTCCTCTGGCTGCGCAATTGGCAAGTGGACAATAAGTCCAAGTGGAACCTAGCGGCTGCACCTTACTCAGGCGCCTCCTTATTTGGGGAAGTCCTGAATCCGATCCTGATAGAGAATAAGGATAAGAAAAAGTTCTTACCAACCAATACCAAATGGACAGAAACACACCCGGCTCTGTATTACTTCAGGCCCTCCTACAGGGCACCTGAGCTAGACTACCAAAACTAGAGGTATTTTTCAACCAGATCGGACAGGTCGACCACTTGCCCTTATTATCAGGACAGGAATAGGTTCCAGAGTCAGGCCAAGTGGCCCTTTCGTGGGGGGAGGGAGAGGGGGTGACCGTCCCTTCCGCAAAGGGAAATGGGTTCTACTCCAACCTCTCTGTTGTTACGAAGGGGCAATCCTTGACCTCAAGGGACTGAATGCCTATCTGGTTTACAGGTGCTTCAAGATGTCCTCCCTGAGGTCAATCTTGCAGGGGATCAGACGGGGGGACCTCTTAGCGTCTATGGACCTCACAGAGACCTACTTACTGTATTTTTCGGAGTATAAGATGCTCTGAAGTATAAGATGCATCTAGCTTTTGGGGAGGAAAACAAGGGAAAAATATCTGCCTCTGCCTCCCAGCAAATTGCCTCCTTGCAACAAACGGTACAGACAATATACACTGTTTGTGGTGTTACATTTCAGATTATACTTGTACAGATGCTGTTAAAATTGATGTGCTTTCTGGAAGTATAGTTATTCTCTGCTATTTTAAAGAAGATATAATTGTAGTGGGCCTCTTCAGATCAAGGATTTATTTTTAAAAACTTTTTCATTTTGTTAAGCTGTCTAGAACAATAATAAAGCAGTCTTTAAAACATAAGTCTAATAATTTGAACATTCTATAGGCATTTATACTTATTGACTTACCTCCTTGCAGAAAACAGCCTGATTAGAAAAAAAATTCTGCCTGCCTCTCAGCAGTTTGCCACGTGGAGCAAACAGCAAGTTTTACTTTCAATTTCTCCTGATCATCAGTTGTTTCAGGCTGCAGGGATTATTATAGCCTATTGCAGCTTCCGCAAGCCCCCATTTGCTGCAAGGAGGAAAATGCTGGGAGGCAGATGCCAAAGGGTTGGGTGTGGTGGGTGGATGGGGCTACATTCAGTATATAAGACGCACCCAAATTTTCACCCTCTTTTAGGTGTGTCTTATACTCCAAAAAATACGGTACACATCGTAATCCTTCCATGTCACCGCAAGTATCTCAGGTTCTCGCAGTTGGAGTCCCATTATCAGTACAGGGTCCTTCCATTCGGGTTGGCTTCGGCCCCACGGACTTCCACGAAAGTCCTGGCTGCATTGGCGGCTGACTTACGGTCTGTTCTGGTGAGGTTCCAATGTTACCTTGACAATGTCCTCGTTCAGGCCCTATCCCACTCTCAGGTGCTACATGATCTACTTCTCACAATCCGGATGCTGCAGATGTTGGGGTTCTCTGTGAACTTTGCAAAATGTCATCTGTGGCCATTGACAAGGATACTTCATCTAGGAGCAATCATAGACTCCAAGGCAGGACTGATGGTGCTATCTCCGAACTGCCGATCCAGCTACAGACCTTGGTCCGACAGGTACACGCAAGTCGGTCCGTTTCCATCTTGGAGCTGTCTTGTCTCCTGGGCAAGATGGTCTCTTGTATTGGGATTGTGTCATGGGCGCGCCTACACGCCAGGGCTCTTCAGTGGGTGTTCATTCCATATCGACGTCGTCTCCTCAGCAACTCCACGGTTCTCATCAAGTTGCCAGCAGACGACCAACTCTCCCTAAGGTGGTAGCTTTTCCCGGCTCTGAATTGGAGATCCGAGTTCAGGGAGCCAGCTTGCATCACGCTCACAGTGGATGCGAGCCTTTTCGGCTGGGGGGCACTGATGGGCTCCCAGCTGGCACAGGGTCAATGGACCATGTCGGACCTGCATCACAATATAAACTGGCTGGAACTGAAAGCAGCTTGTCTGGCACTCCATCAATTTCAGGACCTCCTAACCGACCAACATGTGCTTCTATTGACGGACAACGTCGCCACAAAGACCCATGTGAACCGTCGGGGGGCACACATTCCACAAGCCTATGGGTCGAGGCTCTGAAGCTCAGATCATGGGTGGAAATGTACCTGTCATCAATAGTGGCGGAGCACATCTCGGGGACGACCAATCACCAGGCTGATTGGCTCAACCATGCGACTGTGGACCACGGGGAGTGGCAGCTCCATCCAGATCTATTCCAAAGGATTGCCAGCAGTTCGGCACTCCCCCTGGTGCACCTGTTTGCAACCCTGGCAAACGTGCAGCTCCCACGCTTCCTTTCAAGGTTTCCAATATGGGATGCAGAGGGGCCGGACGCCCTGCAGAGCAGATGGCTGAGCGGACTACTTTATGCATTTCCACCCCTTCCTTTGATTCCGGGGACTCTGAGAGGGAGGACATAATCCTTCTAGCTCCACACTGGCCCAGATGGTCATGGTTCGCGGACCTGTCCAAATGTCAGTCACGCCTCAATGGAGGATTCCTCAGATCTCCCTGTGTCAGGGGGTTCTGGTCCACCCAGACCACCAGTGGCTCCACTTAAACGCCTGGCAGTTGAGCGGCGCCCCCTGAGGAATGCCAACCTCTCTGCAAAGCTCATTGCGACCATTAGAATTATAATCGACCACTAGTATTTATGATTCCATGTGGGCGGCGTTTGTTAAATGGTGTTCCTCCTCTAACATTGCAGCGGCTTCGGCCTCCGCCCCTCAGGTCCTTGATTTCTTACAAGACAGGTTGGACAAAGGGTTGTCCCATAGCACTCTCTGCCGTCAGGTGGCAGCATTATCTACAGTGCTCATCGGGGAAGACCTTGTTGCCCTGTTACAGCTTCCAACTGTCAAACGGTTTCTTTGGAGGGCAGTGAACATCGAACCCCCTGCGATCCACAGGTTCCCCACCTGGGATCTCCTGTTGGTACTTAGAGCCCTCACAGGGTCGCTGTCAGCATCCCTCCATTATATAATTAGGAAAGAAAGACCAAGAGATTCCATGTGTTGGAAAT